CTTACTTACTTACTTACTTACTTACTTACTTACTTACTTACTTACTTACTTACTTACTTACTTACTTACTTACTTACTTACTTACTTACTTACTTACTTACTTACTTACTTACTTACTTACTTACTTACTCTCTCTCTCTCTCTCTCTCTCTCTCTCTCTCTCTCTCTCTCTCTCTCTCTCTCTCTCTCTCTCTCTCTCTCTCTCTCTCTCTCTCTCTCTAGTTGATCTATAAATATGACAATAAAACTCTTTATTCTGCTTTCCTTATTTAATTTATTTTGCTCCCAGGCAATTAAACATATCATTAAATATTATCTCGAATAAAAAAATTTAATCGCGAACAATAATAAATTTGTTTTCTCGATTGTTATTTTCAAATATGCAGTATGTAAAATTAATATACATATTCTCATGACGTTCATATGGTGGTTGTGCTATATTACGCACAACAACAGGTTTCATTCAATTTATATGAATCGCTCGACTTACCATTAACTGAGGTTTCAACGGATCGCGCAGATTGTCATTATCATAATCCCATAGGAGTAGCTGAATGCGAATAGAAAAGAACGGGCGGGTTTCCGAGAGGTGGCATCGGAAAGCTCAATGGAACGGCCGTGCATGGGCAAAAAAGGAGGATAGAACGCGTCCGATAAAATTTTCCATTGTATGCCGGGGAAAATGGGACTTCGGCGCGGGTAGAAATTGAAATTGTTACGAGGTACATGTGAAAATTGCGGAATCGCAATTGGTGAAACTCAGACATAACGAAAGTGTGACAAAACCAGAAAGGTTCGAACCTTGAAAATGTCCCGACTAGCTGCGAAATTAATTCGCCGTTGTTTTACAGCGAAATTAATTTATAACTACGATACAATGAGAGATTTTTGCGCCGTTGCTTTCATTATATTACTGTTATATTCATTCAAATATTCAGATATACAAAAGCAAGCTTATATAAAACGCAATAAATATATAAATTTTACATAAATCTTTATTGAAAATCTAAATTATTAATATCTAATAATGAATTATGCCGAAGATAAATGTTGTAACATCTTTTAACCATGATGTTATAAAAATGTTTCATAAAGCACTTGATAATATTATAGAATATTATTTATAGAGAGCTTTAAAATTAAGATTTAATATATTATTAATATAAAAACCTATCAATATAAAAAATTAAAAATATCATACATAATCTCACTTAAAATAAACAATTTAAATATACATTGTATTAAAATTTATTATTTTTTATTTTATAAAGAATTTAGTAATTTTAATAAATCGTTTAACCTAATTAACTAATTTAAATTGTTAAACTGTTAAATTTCACATATAATACGTATATATAATATACAGAATACATCATATGTATCTCATTTCCATGTTATCCAGGCAAACTTTTACGTTCCTCGGCACGTAAAGTTGTTTCGCCAATAAAGCATTCTCTCTCAATTTTGGATGAACACCGGGAAATCGAACTCGGTTTTCGATACGCAAAAGTTCTTCTCCTCACTGTACCTTGCACGAATTCAATAAGGTTCTGCATTCTCCGCATTCCACGATAACAATAACTTCTTGTTGTAATCATGGTGTAAGTTAAGCAAACACCGGTCATGAGAACAATACGGGGCCCACTCGCCGGATGATTTTCCAAACTTCCTTCCAGTCGCGGCACGTAATCCAAGTTGTTTGATCTGTAGCTTTGAACTCGGTGGAAAACACCACTAGCGAAATTTTCCACTTCGCCTTTAAATTTAGCCATGTCTACCTTTAGTCCTGATTTTATCTTTGTGCGCCTGCCCACGCTGTCTGTGCATAGCTTCAACAATTTCTCACGATTGAAATCCATAGAAAATAAATATAAAACGAAACTTTTCAATAAACAAATTATTATATGCAAATTAAGAATTTTAAATAAATAATAAAAACGTAATTACAATCTGTAAAATCCGCAGAACACATTGTATTATGTATGTAAAATGTAAGAATGGTGATGAATTTTTATAACATGACAACAAAATATGACAGATACAATCGTACAATACATACAAATTAATAAATGTACGAGTTCCATTATATATTTATAAATAACTTTTATTATGAGAGATAATTGCGCCGTTTTAAAGCAGCAGATTAAATCACAAATGAATATTTATAATTTTGTCAAAAATATATTACGTAGTAGTTTTCAAGCTCTCGCGCATGGCCACGTCGCCGCAAAAGGATATGTTTTAATGTGTTTTCTACCCTTTAGAAATTATTACGCGAGAAAGAGAAATTCTTTCTCACATTAATGTGAAGTAATGGCCGTGTGCGATGAAAAGCGAACGCGGTAATGTCGTTAATGTCAAAGCACGCTGCGCTTTACTCACGGTCTACGCCGTATTTCACCGTGCTAAGCCGCGTCGAATCTTGCCCGGCACTGAGGCAATATTTATTTGCAGTTACGATAGCGAAAAGCGGAGCAAATGCCTGTACAAAGTATCCCACCGTTACGATACTCCGCCATAGTTTTCCAAGCAGTTCCTATTCCAGTCGCACTTGGCTCGGAACTGCGCTGGGGATATTTTGAAATGGATGGTATCGTCGATTTCGGTATCGAGTGCATTGCCGAAGGGTCCGTTCTTTTCTAGCCGTTTTATTCCGTTGCTCGCTTCATCGCAATTCGTCGCGGTATACGCTCGATCGGCTCGCAGCAGTATGAGCGTGCATTTCCCTTTTACCTGCGATTGAGAAGCTGGATTTTGCCGTTCAGATAAATCGACGACTCACAAACGACGTCGACGGCAATTGCGCGAGCTAAGTCGAGATCGAAAAATGATATTTATTTTTATCATCCTCTGTCCCGCAATCTGCGACGAGGCAAAATAAAATATATTACGGAGTTTATAATTCGTATTGGAATAGATTTGAAAGAAATTCATCTTTCCGACAGGAAATTTATTTTTTAAGCTGTCAAAGAAAAATCTTACGTTACAGTTTATTATAATTGACGATATGCGATTTGTAATTTATACATTATTTTGCGAAAGTCCTTGCGATTGAGAACATTTTTTTATTTACTATAAAGTTTAAAAAAAATGAATAGAAATAAGTTTATATTTATTATTAAAATATGTCAATACCTCTGATTAAAATCGAGATACATTAAATCTATACC